TCTACGGCCCTCCAGAGGTCAGAGTCATAGCCCAAAACACCTCACGAACAGCCATTTATGATACTAGAGACTGAACTGTGCCTCTGAAATTCTGTGTTTTAATGAGACTCTTGTGTGTTTATTGCAGCCTGTGCTTCTCGACAGCAGCAGTATCCTCCCAGACAGAATCCTGCTCATGGACACCTTTTTCCAGCTGGTCATCTATCATGGAGAGGTGAGACACACTAAATGTTTGGTCTTTGTCTATTTTAAACTAATTTCTGAACATTGAGTAACAAGCTGTGTCTGTTTTCAGACTATTGCTCAGTGGAGAAAAGCTGGCTACCAGGAAATGGCAGAGTATGAGAACTTCAAGCAGCTGCTGCAGGCTCCTCTAGATGACGCTCAGGAGATTCTGCAGACACGTTTTCCAATGCCGCGCTACATCGACACAGAACACGGAGGCTCACAGGCACGCTTTCTGCTTTCGAAAGTCAACCCCTCACAGACCCACAACAACCTCTACGCCTGGGGACAGGTATAGTACTCCAAACACCACACTGTCAAAGAATGGAGCAGACATATACTATACTTTTCATTAAATTATGTCCTAATTACAGAGAGTTTAGTTTTGACCTGTAAACAAAGTATGTCCTGGATTAGCCCTGGTTCTAAAAATGGGATGTTACTAAAGCTGAAAATAGCATTAATCTTTTATTTCCCAACCTAAGGGAGAGCTGAGCCATAACCTGCCATATACAAGTGCTTAGAATACATCTGCATCTGTTCATTCAGAGATTATTGAGACTGCGGACTCTTGCATAAGCGAGTGTCCACAATAAACATGTCTGGTCAATGAACTGATTATGTCATAAGCAAATGCCTTTTAGAGAGAGTTCAATGCTTCGGTCTTTCTACAGGAGACTGGAGCACCCATCCTCACTGATGACGTGAGTCTGCAGGTGTTTATGGACCATTTGAAGAAATTGGCCGTGTCGAGCGCAGCATAAGACTTGACTACATAGCAGTGAGGAAAAGGAAGAAGAATATTCCATAACATTTCCCTGATTCTGTGAAGGAGTCACATCCAGAGAGGCCTGGAGGTGCTTGATTACATTATATAGATTTTTTTTTTTTAAACATTTTTATGTCAAAATAATAAAGGAAAACTGCACATTCCTGTATCAATTAAGGAGAGCAAGTAATGTTAACCACATTTTAATTACCTTTGGACCTTGTATAAAATATAGCTTTGTTTTGTCAATTAAACTGTCCTAAGCTGAGCAATAATTGTGTCTAATATGAGATGGCAACTCTGACATGTTGAATGATATCAATTTCATTTTATCATTTTATTTGTTTGTCCTAGAAAATATTATTGCGGTGTGTAGTTAAAGCTATTGTAAAGCTAATATGTCTGCTTTGTCTATAGTAAAATATGTCTGCAACTTTCTCATAAATAAATTATAATGATACATCTAACGAGCATTATTTACTTATTTTATAGAAATTTTTAAAATGATCAAAATAAGTACCCAAAGGTTGTTAGAAAAAAAAACAATTTGATAGTTTATTGTTGTTCAGGTCACCACCTAATATTTTTAAGTGTCTCTAATCTAAGATATAATAAATTAAGCAGTCACGTTCAGATGGGAGGATGTCCATAATTTATGCAATTTTAACACAGTTGGCATGCCTTGGTACTTCTCAGTGGCTGTACATTTTGGTACACTGTTGATTGTAATCTTGTATTGTGCCTATGCGCAAAGCGAGTAGTGGTGCTTACATCAGTGCATGAGGTGACGGGTCATTTCTGCAGATTGGAAATGACACTCAACAATTGTCTTTTTCTCATCCGTTTCTACTGAACATAAAGCCCTCAGCCACGCAATCCCAACTGCAAAGCCCCTCACACACACCATGGACTGTGGCTGTAAGCTGATCTCAGAGCACCCAGACAGTATGATTTCGAGGATCAGTGAACCAGGATTATGAGGACTAATCCTGGGGGGCTATCTGTTTAGAGGAAGATTCTTTTAGCAACTTTAAGAGGATGTGTCACTGACATATTCAAGTGTCCATCAAGTGTACTCAAAAGGTCTGTTCACTCTTTGGTCCAAGACTGAGCTCATTTTAGTCCTGATATAGAGTTGACTTAATTTGGTTCTGTTTTGGTCCTGGTTTAGTCCTGGTGTAGTCCAGATTTAGTTTTATCCCAAATTTGATGTGTGTGTGCAAGTGTGCGTGAGTATCACATTATGGGGACTAACCACCCGCATGCGGACAAAAAACATGTCTCCGTGATGTAACTCCTTTTATTATTAAAGCAACAACTTTATTTTGAATTCAATTATGGTTTAAAATAGGTTAAGGTTAAGGTTAGGATTTTGGTTAGACTTAGGAAAGTAGTACTGTAACTATGGTTAAGTTAAGTTAGGAAATGAAGGTAGACCAATATGTGAATGCATGTTTATGTGAGGTGTAAATCAAGACACTTATTTGAGCTAAATAACTATCTACTCTTGTTATGTACTAGAGAGATAAAAAAAACAAAAACCTTCCAGTCTTGGTAGTAGGCTACTGTCTAACTACTGTCAATGACAATGTCACTGTAATCATGGCTTTTACATCCAGTGACTTCTTTGACGGGACCAGCTGTTGTTGAGATGTTTTGTGCAGTAAAAGTATTTCTCTTTGACGTCTCACAGATGCAGGCAGTAGCAAACATAAAAGTTGCGCCTTCTTGTACGTCAGAGCTCTCATTCATGATGTTCACGCCCATGTGATTCAGGCTTAGCCAAAGCTGTAAAGAAATGTGTTGTCTTATTATCTCTCATCAAATCCTGATAGATCCGGGCAACGCGGGGCAAAGGCTGAAGAAATCCATTCTGGCTTTTGTCCCAGATATGTTATATAAACATATATGCCATAGTGTTTATATAACATTGATGACATATAATTCCTTTAAATAATTTAGAAGAAAATCGCATATGGTGTATTTGTGAACAGGGTTGCAGAGTAACAGTCTGCAATGGGCAATCTGGACCAAATGTAGAAAGCATCTTACAACCAGCCACTATGTCCACTATCTGGATCTGTCCCCAGTGTCCTGTGCACTGCATTTTGATTAAGCAGACAATCTTTTCATAGTGCAATTCTCTTCATTCTGTCTGGATATACTTGTCTATTTGTGAAGGTCTGTCAGAAAACTAAATCTTGAAGCATGTGAAGATTATGCAGCAGGATTAAAGAGGCCTATAATATGCTGTTTTTACAGTTGTCCAATAAAAGAATAAAATCCGCTTTCCGTTGTATTTTCTAATATATGATCTAAAGCATGCACAAACCACTAGATAATAAAAGGGCACAGTCAAAATCTAGTGGTTCTTTCTAAAAACCCCTATGAAGTGCTGAAGAAACAGGAAGCAAGTCATTTTTTGATAATAAATTATACTGTATATTGTAAGTGCCATTTCATTTCTGTTCAACTCTTAGTTTAGTATTTTGACTGCAAGCTTCTAACCTTTTTCTATATTATCATATCATCAATAGCAATTTATAGGCCTATTATGTACCATTGCTTTAAAATGTAAACAAACTTGTTTACATTTCCTTGTTTAAAAAGTACATCTATTTAGTAGTTGCTTTCCCTTTATTTTTGTTTTAACTTTTGGTTCAGTGATTTTTCCCATACTCAGGCTGGACCAGGGAACTTCCAGTGCATCCATGGGACAGAGGGGATTATGTGGTCAGCTCAGAGACAACCTCTCACCATCTGCACAGACGTCATAAGCACTGCTGCCCAGCACTGGGCCAAGTGTGCGGCTGATCAATATGTTCCATACTCAAAATAATAATCTAAAGTGACTCTCCCCAAGTCAGAGAGGTAAGATGGGGGCATGCATTTTCACAGGTTTTTGGTTGTTATTTTAGAGCTGCCTCTTCTGGAAAACACCAGCTAACATCAGGGTTAATCAAAGTCATTACTTTGTTAATTTGTGCCTCTGCAAGGCATAAGAGTTCATAATCCTGCATGATTACTAAGGATGTAGCCCTTGACCCCAGTTCACCTTCAGACCACCCATAGGTGCCGCTTTCAGCCGCTTATCCCACACAAGGAGCAATGGTTTATATCAGTAACATATGCTTAACCTCTGCATTATATGGCCAAGGCCCCCACTGTGACCTTATAAGACCAGATGTTCAATTGTGTTGTGGGGGCCCATTTTATTCAAAAGAAGAGGAACTAATTTATGTAGCCCAGTTCCAGATAACGGCGGATTGGCACTGCCACTAACAAGCAGGTAGTACTAAATTTAAATAAACACTAACCAGCTCAAAAGATGCATGCATCCACACCTGAGCTAAAGATTACATTTGAATTTAATTTAACCTTGCCAGTTGAAATTTACCTAAAGATAGGCCTTCAGATTTAGTAGGCCTAGTAGTAGGCACACGTGAAATTATTTAGGCCTATTCATTAATTTAGTTATTGCCTATTTAAATATAGATGTCTGTAGATCACCAAACCTAATCCACTCCACTGTCATTTAGCATTTTGCGCAGCTAAGCACTGAGGCATTGGAGCATCTTTCAGATGCGCACTCATACCGTGTATGTGCTAGTTCTTAGGCTGTAGGTCTTCATTTCAGTGCTAATGTCCCACATTGACATGGCTTTATAATCGCTGTTATTTATGTCGGCATGTTATGTTGCGTTTAGTGCTGCATTGGAAGAGCGCTCCAACGCACAGGGACACAAGGAGAGAGAAAGAGAGAGAAGAAAATCCACCCGACTCTAAGCGCGCGTTAAATCCTCCCAACGTGACTTCCTATAGGCTGCGACCGCTCGTGAGGCAGCGCGTGTGGGGGGAGATGATGAGATTGTGGCATTTGGCACAGAACGGAGCAAGGAGAAAGTCTTGGGTATTTGTTTAACTTTGCCGCAAACTGTCAAATGGGATCTCACTTGTGGAAAGAAACGTGCACCTGTTACCAACATGCACCTCTGAAACTCGGACCATGAGGACCACGCGCAGATGCAGGACCCTTCTGTCGGTCGGACTCAACTTCTTCGCACTGTTTTTCTCCATCACGGCGTTCATCACTACGTACTGGTGCGTGGGGACGCAGAGGGTTCCCAAGCCAAAGTGCAGTAAACTTCGGACGCACCAGTGCATAGACTACGGAGTGAACGAGACCGACCCTAACAAAGTGGTGTACAGCTGGGAGACGGGGGATGACCGCTTTCTGTTCCGCCAGTTCCACACCGGCATCTGGTTTTCCTGTGAGGAAAACATCCATGATGAAAGTAAGAGCCCAAACTTTAGGATATGTGAAATGTTTCTGCAAGCAGATAGTTAGAAATCTAATATGGGACAAACATCAGCCTTATAGTGAAAATGCAGTGATTTTGGGAAAGAAAAAAAAAAGACTTATTATGGCATAGTTCAGTTTGGAGGGAAAAAAGAGTTTGGTTGTGCCATGAGCTAGTCATATGTCCTGTGTATTGCTCCGTAATGTAATCCTTCTTGTGTAGGCTACTTTAAATAATAATAATAATCATCATCATCATCATCACACTGATTATCATATTGTGTTTTATAGTGATTTAACATTTCTCTATCATACTCTGAACCAGAGCAGCAGACTTCTGGCATTCTGGCATTTGACCTTTATTTAGGCCTATTGTTCATAGGAGCAGATACATCAGATTTCTCAAAATACAATATTAAATAGATTTTACAATAATAAAAACATAAAACACAAAACAAATAAAAGTTTCCCAGTGTAAACCAGGGATCTAATCGTATCAACCTCTGGGTCAGGCTCAGGCCCTTTTAAACCCAGTGTAGTAGTCATTTGTGCATATCTCCAGACTGGTCAGATCACACATGTAAGATTCACAGTGGCGATATAGCAGGTGACAAAAGAGAAGTGCATGTCATTTAAAGTTTTCTAGTGGTGGTGATTAGGGATTTCAAACACTGGCGTAACTGAATGAATTAAGTTGAACTGAATAAAGTTGCATAAGTGTTTACAAACCCCTCATAGGCCCATGTCACAGACTAAAGAGATATTAGAGAAATGTGTGCTTCAATGTCTGCATTGTGGTGAACTGTTGTAAAATGCATGAAGAGCTAAATAGAGATTATTTGGGCCTTTGCGCTCTCTCTCATCAAGTGTCTGTGCAGTGGAGGGTGAGTGAGACAGCTTGAGTTAATAAGGATTATGTAACATGGCTCTTGATGAGTTTTTCCTCAAAACAGCTGTTGCCACCCTTCTTCTACCTGATTAATGTTCCACTTACAACAAATCCAGCCACACGCTCGGCTCAGCAGATAAAACATGCCATCTAAATGAATACACTATGTTAAGAGCTCCTCGTCTGCTCTCACTCAGTGCAATGGGCACAAATTATACTAAAAGTAAAATATTGTTATAGTACACTGTTATTGTAAATCTGTGTAAATACCTGTAATTCTCCAGAACATCAGACAGCTGTTAAGTGTTAAGTGCTAGGATGCCATCTGCCATCACCGAATCCTTCCCAAAACCTGCATTGCTGCTTAACATATGCCCCATAATTGACTTAATCCACTCCTAAACTTCTGACCGCACATTTTTCTGGCCATGATCTAATCCGGAGTGCAGTAACACACCTGGATGAATTAGGAGATTAGATTTGGACAAAACCGCTCAGACTCTCACTTATGTCACTGCTGTAGTGACATCTGTCCAGCCCAAACAAGTAGTGCTGACCTTTTAACGTAACCCGACCAAGTACTTAATGTTCTTTCAGTTTCTATATTTAGCACTGTAGTCCCTAACTGTCCAAAATGAATGAATTTTTGGTACTTTTTTGCCAGGTGAAAGGTGCCGAAGTTTCATTGATTTGGCTCCTGCCTCAGAAAAAGGTAAGAGCATGGTCAGAATGGTGAAACTCTGTAGGAAAATATGCACGCAATGTTACAAATCAATTAGAGGCAGTTATGTTTAATCAAAGGTTATTTATATATTGGGCTAATTCTTTAATGTAGTAGGGCTGCAACAACTGATCTGAATATCAGTTGATGACTATATTGTTGGACTGTAATTACACTAAAATGTATGTCAAAAGAAGTATGTATGTATTTCTAAATACATACATGGTGAAAAGTACAAAAGTACATCTTCACACAACCTTGTGTGAAATGTACTTTTGTACTTTTCACCATGTATGTATTTAGAAATACATACATGGTGTAATTTCACTAGCCAACTATTCCAAAAACGGGAGAGTTGCTGACTATAATAATTAGTTGCATACCTAAGAGGGTTTCCTAACAGACTGTGTCGGGTGCAGGGATGCTGTGGCTCTCGCTGGTTTCAGAGATGTTATACATTGTGTTGCTGGTGGTGGGCTTCAGCCTCATGTGTCTGGAGCTGGTCCATTCTAACAACATCATCGACGGACTCAAACTCAACGCTTTCGCTGCTGTCTTCACTGTGCTCTCAGGTATGCTATAATCTATTACACACATAGATATCACTCTAGGGCTGTATAGTATTGCTTTGCAATCCTCACAGTTCAGTCATGGTTGTGTGCGTTTGCAGGTCTTCTGGGCATGGTGGCTCATGTGATGTATACACAAGTGTTCCAGGTGACTGTGAGCCTGGGCCCACCCGACTGGAGGCCCTACAACTGGGACTATGGCTGGTCCTTCTGGTATGAATCTGTATAGTCATAATAGACCCCCTCCTGAAGGAACTGTGTTGTATAATTAAGCTAATCCTATCCTGAAGTTTCTAGTTTTCCCAAAATAGTGGGTCATCTCCATCTCACCTCTTCCAGCATCACTGACGCTAATGAAAAAGAGGCAAAGCTCTCATGTTATGGCCGGATTAGGCTTTGGTGTCTAAAGCTCCAATATGGAGTATGATTGGAATTGCTGGGGGATAATATTTCATTTCTTTTACAATATGCTCACAATGCTTTAAATCTAGTGTTCAAGACTAGCAGTTCTTGACCTTTTGTGATTCTTGCATGTGAAACATGACAAGATGAATTGTATGTAAGATCACTCCAGCAACCAAGCACTGAGAGACTGACACTAATCTCTGCAAACATAGGCAGAGTGTCCAAATGCTAACATCCAAGCAGAACATTATGACCATGATTATAATAGATATTGTTAATATGTTCTTATGTGGCAATTATTAGTTTAACTTTTGACTGAATCACTTATAATATTGTGCACAGCAGACTGGAAACACTCCAAAAGCATAAACATGTTGGAGGTGCTCCAACTCCATATAGTCATGTAGAGTATGTTGCTTGCGATTTTAACCTCCGTCCTCTTTGAATAACTTTTTGCATGAATTGTGCTCAACAACTAAAGTTCCCTTGAATAGTTAAATGTACTCAAATCTCTCACTAGTCATATCACATGTAATACACATTAAAGAACATATGGGGCAGCAACGACTCAGGTTACATAAAGTGTTACTGCCAGTCAGACTGCCCCAAGAAGTAGCTTACCATTACCAGTGTCATCATTTTTATGAATCTCAAGGTTTGATATGTATTTTTTCTGTTGCAGTATGGCCTGGGCATCCTTCACCTTCTGTATGGGGGCATCAGTTACTACCCTCAATTCCTACACAAAAACAGTCATTGAGTTCAGACACAAGCGCAAGACATTTGAGCAGAACCTCCGTGAAGAGGATGCCCGCGAGGCCTTTGGCTATTTCAGAGAACATTCAGTGCACTCCATCTCCAAATCTGTGGAGGTATACCCAAGTCACAGCATCAAGAGTGGCAGAAGGACCCCCATACCCACCGACTCCCCGGACCTGAGCGATCGGGCATCTTTAGGGGAGGAACAATGCTGAACTATTTTAGCAGGGCTGCTGGACATATTCATTGTTGTGGCATGTAGCTGGCTCCAGACTATTCGAGCAACTATGGACCTGGGATGGGGTATAGACTGGACAGTGGTCAGTGACACTTAACCAACAAATAGCCATTCACTCTCTATTTTTGTAATTTAAGTAAATCCTGCCTTATTCAACAAAGCACTGGATAGGCTACTGTTGATACCCTTCAGAGTTGGAGAACCCATTTTAATGGGCTGAAAATGTATTTATTCAATTAACATATTTCTGAGGTGCATCAAGCCTTAAGAAAACATCAAGAGGACATGCAATCTAAACAATAATCATAATTGCATAATAAGTAAGTATGTGCCTACTATGAAGTATAAGTTATTGACTCATTGTAAATCTGTAGTTATAGAGTGAGTGTGCAATGTACGTGTGATGCGTGAAAAACATTTTTACTTATGTCCCCATTTAATGTGTCTCAAGCCATTTAAAAAACACAAACACACACACACTTCTTTTAGTTCTGAAATGACTGAATTTGAATTCACCATTTTTGAACACACAATTTGTCTGTTCAAAAATGGTTAGTTCAAGAGGTTACGTAATATAGTAATATAAAGAACTTTCACCAGAGGGCAGTGTTGCATTTGCAATGACACAAGACTAGCTCAGAGAAGAGTTTATTTGGATAGATGTTTACCATATAATTTCATTAAAATATTTACATAATAATACACAATACATAAAAGTGCATAAAGAGGTGGACCTGCACTCTCTTGTCCGCACCAATATTTACACTAAAATGTTTTTTGTTTTTTTTTATTTTAAATCAAATCTAAGATATTTTACTTTTGTCATCTTTAGCTCAGTACCCATCATCATACTCATTCTGTGCCTGTTGCCTTGCCAACATGGCCTGGATCAGAGCGCTGGACGGAGCAGGGTTTTGTGGTGCTCCGGGGACCCACTGCATCCTCTTCAGCTCCTCCTCCTCTTCCTCCTCAGCCCGCTGTCTGGCCTGCATCACCTGCATCATGACACTATTGACCGAGGCTGGACTGTTCTCCTCCTGTTCCTCTGCTGTGTGCCTATAGTTAACATGGTTCTCAGTAAACCCTGCCCTGCTATAGTACTCCTCTCTAGTCTGACTTTCAGTTCTCTGTCTGGCTTGCATCGCTAGAGCTAGAGCACTGGAGGAAGACTCTAAGGGAACTGGAAGTCCTCTGGCCTGCTCCCTCTCCTCTTCCTCCTCTGCACGCTGACGGGCGAGCAAGACTTGAACCATTGCATTGGAGTTAGAGGAACCATTTGATGAGAAGTCTTCTGGGTGGGGCTTGGTTTTGCTCTAAAGAAGAAATAAAAGGGTATAAATATATGTTTAGACATTTAGGCTAGGGAGAAGAAAAACATACCTTCTTCTCTTTGGGTCTTTTGTTAGGGTGAGATTTCTGGAGGTTCTGCAACTTCTCTAGCAAAAATGATTTGTCTTTACCTTCCTTGAAAAAGAAACAGTACATGTTGGAATCAAGAATAAAATATGTAAATATATGGATCTCTATTAGCACACTTACATTGACAATCTGGCGTCGTAGAAGAACAATGAGTTGCTTGCGGCCTTGACTCACTTGCCAGAAAATGTACACAATAATTCTGAAATGGAAAACTCATTTGCAGTCATTGTTAATTTCTCATCACAAAATGAAATTGCTACAAACAATTACATAAAAATGAATAAAATGGAGCTAGTGTAAATTCAGTCTGGAAGACCTAACTTCGCTCCTGTCTACCTCAAAGCTTTTTCCACAGTTTACCTGCTCCTCAGCCTTCATCACCTAAGTCCAAATGCTCCTCCCCGCTGCTCGCTGCACCTCCTCCTCGTCCAGTCAGCGCTCAGTCTGCCCAATTTAAACCCCGGTTTGCAGGTGCATGGTTACTTTGGTTTATGCCTCCACGCTCCACCCCTTCCCCAGCGCCCCTCATCTCTACTTCCCCTTTATTCTCCAGGACCTCACATCTACCACCTTCAGTGTCCATACCCCAGGGGGAAGACATCTCCTAAACATCATACAAACAGCCATGCCCTTCATCACAACGTTTTCTGCCAGGGTCTGAATCCCAAAACCAATCCATTCAATAAAACTACTAATACTTTCTCTTATCTATTAGAACATGAATTATACAATCTGTTCCAAGTTTTATGTTGGTGAAATGTACTTACAGAATGATAATTGTGACGAGGAAGTAAAAGATTTCACTCCTGATGACCTTTTGGTAGATGAGGCTCACCCACTTGGAGCCTTGGATGCCATCCAGCTTTATGGTCCAGTTTTCCACCACACTGAAGGTGCTGGTGAGCCCCCGAAATGGACCACAGTGCTTAGATGGGGTCAGGCTGTGGCACAGATGAGGAAAAAAAATTCACAAATGGAGTATTATAGAGGCAGGGATGTTGTTCTGTCAAATTGTATGAAGAGATGATTATATGAAATTTATGTTGTTCATACCTCCAAGCTGTGTACCCCACAATTGCCAAAGCCCCCAAAAAGAAAGGGAAGAATAACAAAGCGGTAAAAATGGTTTTCATTTGAGCTGCTCTGCCTGTCCGTCGTGGAGGCTGACAGTTCTGCATCAAGCTTACCTAAAAGAATCATATCACACAGCATTATTTTATCTATTTAACAGCTGTCATTTTGAATGGCATTGTTAAGGTATTTGTGTACTGTTTTATTAATCAACATAATTAACTTGTCTTGAATCAATAAACACTACAAAGCAGACAAATATCTGTCCAGCATTGATCACACTGGTCCGCATTTTCCACACCACAGTATAAACGAAGCATTCACCATTCCTAATAGGTTTGAATTAATCATTGACCAGGTGCACAAATGGAGTAATATGAGCCCTAAGCAGCCAGGGCATTCAGTGCATTGTGTCTGACTATGGCTGTTTGTCACTATGGCAGTTCAGTTTACCATCACCAAGCTCCAAATAGCCTGTTTTACTAAAGGCAAACAATTCTGAGGCATTGCAATTGAGATTAGATTTTCATTTTTGATTTTATAACAAGGATTCTATTCAAAGTCCACATTTTAAACATCCAACATTTAAAAAGGAGCATTAATATTTGACCGCAATATGAACTGCTTAAGTAATACAAAAATTCCATGCATTTCAGAATGTGTTTGTAGAGGTCAGTAACTTTAACTATATTTACAGGACATACATATTGTTGATACTTAAATGATTTCAGTCTATCCAATTAAACTGATTGATTGTAACATAACTTGCAGTCTTTTTACCTTCTTTATATAGAATAGGATGAAAAACTTGAGGATCTGGATGGCTGGCAGCAGAGGGGAGAAGTAAATGCCAATCCTGTAGAGAAAATCCATAAATTAAATCAGAATTATCACAAATGATTCATCACTTGATTATAAATATTGTGTTTCTCACCATGCCAGAGTTTGTGCATAGATTATTTCAAGAACATTTCGGGCTACATCAAACTCTGGAACTCCCAAACGGGGAAGCAACCGGGTCCCAACCATACTGTAGGGGGGGAAAAAGACTTCATATTCTATATCCCAAATAAAAATAAATGTAACAACTAATGTAACTGTCTCACTGACTTGCTCAGAAACTCTCCAAAGAAGGATCCCAACATCAGGAAAATAAAGTCAACAATGACTAATCGGTACAAAGCCTGTCCCACCACAGACTCCCAACACTGTCAAAATATTACATATTGATATCAGTCTGGTAAAATAAATTATTAAACAGGCTCAGTACACATGATTTAGTCAAATGTAAGAATATATTTTTGGTTTGTTAACTATAAAATAATAATAATAATAATAATAATATTAATAATAATAATAATAATAATTGTATACTGTACATACTGAAAATTGCTTTGCCACCCCATTCATCCAGTAGTGACACAAGACACCCAGTATGCACATTCTGAGTAGAACATTTCTGCACAGTGGGAAAAAAAGTTTAAGAGATACACACTTTTATTTAATTCATAATTTTGTGTTCAAACCTGAGCACAAGAGCATAGATCTGCCTGCGCTGATTGGAGTAATGCTCAAACTTGTTAAACAGTGAGTAAAACAGTGGGACCACCATGTTCATAAGAGACACCACAAATGGCACCAGGAGCGTCTCTGCCTCCTGACGTGGAGACAAGCTGCTAGTATCCATAATGTGCTGTAAAGATACACAAGGGCCCTATTAAGTAATAAGGAAGAAGGATTTGATAACTTACTGGTAGTAAGTATTGAGCAACACAAGCAATAAATTATCACACCACGAAGTCTTATCATAAATGTCTACAATGTGAAGGAAATGCAGCAATTGTCATCATTGGAACATATTTATTATGTGTTTATTTATTAATGTTGATTATGTTAATATTTGTTTCCATAACCAACGAGAAGTACCCAATTTTTTTGTACCTTTTCCTCATATTTGCAGAGGAAGAAGATGCTCGCCGCACAGCCAACAGTCATACTTGAGGACAGAAGCCAAGATCCAAGGTGAATCCCAAAATCTTTAAGTTTTTCTGAGGTTGTCAGCTGTTCACTCTGGGCCTTCTCTGACAAAGATTCCTGTAAACAGACAATAATGAATACTATATTAATATTCAGAGCTATCATACCTTAAATTTAGTCATGGGAACACAGAAAACCAGTACTGCCCTACAAAGGCAGAAGACAGTAACATCATGGTTAGTCAAAAATGAGTAAATGTCATTTTGGGGAGGGGCTCAATATTTTTGCATATAAATATTTCTTCATTATAGCAACTAGTTGTCAAATTTTGTTGACAACTTATTATATTATACATTATATACTTATTATTATACATTATAGCAACTAGTTGTCAGCGCCATCCATCCCTCTGACCACCACCATCACTCACACACACACCACTTTCATACTAAGCAATGTGGGAAAAGTGTCTTGCCTAAGGACACAACGACAGTTATTGTGACTGGCGACCCACTGTGGCACCTGATTTTCCCAGTGGTCTCCCATCCAAGCACTAACCAGGCCCAGCCCTGCTTAGCTTCTGAGATCTGATGGAATCAGGCTTTTACAAGCTGGTATGGCCACATACTGTCTTATAGAACGGCAAATGTTTACAGACGGGACCATTACAGCTTGCACTATTAATATTTGGTAAAAACTGAGAATAACTACCTTGAGCTGTATGCGTAGATTGCTTTTCCGCTGCCTCACTGCTCTCTCATTGGTGATACTGAAGTCCCAGCTGCACAAAAGTTGCCAGGCACCACTCGATGTTGAATCGGCCAGAACATAATTTGTCTTGAAAGAGTTTGCCATGCTGGAGGAGAAATAGAGGGTATAAGTATATTTAGATATATGATAATGCAAAGAAAGAGTTCATAATTCAGAGAAGCAACCTGAAGATAAGTGCAATGCCACAGAGCACCATGTAGATGGAGATGGTGAAGAAATACCCCAGCTGCATTTCATAGTCTGTGGCACCAATGAGGGTCTCATTACTATAGCTGCCATAGTACATGACTGTGTAGTTAAAGTAACCCTTGAAAAGGAATAATGAAACAATAACATATGAAACTATACAATATAAAATAATTAAATAGCTACAAAAAATAAAATAGAAAAATTGGTTTGCAAAACAGTTTTGACTAATATGCATTAATGGCAAAGGTGTTTGTCTCCCTGAAAATGGCACACAGTGGAACATTCCAGGCAAAGCATCTCCAAAGAGACAAGCAGGTGGTAGGCCCATTACAAGAAAAGTTACATAGTGCACCTTTAAAGAAATTTAAAAAGTGTGAAGTAAACATGCTTACAGCTCCAGTGAGGATCTCCAGTCCCCTGAATGTTATGTTGTTCGGTATGCTTGGTGAGGGGTTGTACACTAGCTGGGGGATGGTGATGAACCCAAAATTGACCAAAAAGGAGAAAATGTTGAACATAAGGAGCCATTTGAGAAAGATGAAGTAGGACAAGACACTGGTGCCGAACTTTCCTCCAATCTCCTTCATGGTGCCATGCCACAACTCCAACATTTGCCTCGCAGACCTCACATTTGAGCCAAATTTGCGAAAAGACTAAGGAAACATAAAAGATAATATGTGTAACATTCTTGTAAGTTTCTTAATTCATTAATTCTTAAATGCAGATATAAAAAGGTCTTGCTCTTAAAAAAGATTAATACTGGATGGAAACATAGCTGTGAATCTGTGCAGCCTCTGTGACTGTCAATCATATATTTTCCTCACACGCCACAAAGGCAAGGTAGGTGAGCTTTTGTAACATTTGAGGCTTTGCTGTAACAGTATAGATATTTAAAAGTTATTCAGACTTACTCGGGAAAATTGCTCTGAACAGTCTCCCAAACAAGTGAACTGGCGAGATTTTTTGGAAGATATCAATGCAAGCACTTGGCTCCTGTAATCAAACATTACAATAAATTAATACAATCCATCAATCACAAAACTCCCATTAATATTGTGCAGGTCATAATACAATACAGTGTTCTTCAGGAAACCCTTTAGATTTTTATTATTTCTTTTATAGTGGTCAACAAACTCATGTTTGCACATCTACTTTACAACTTACTATGTTGCAAAACCAAAAGATTAACCTTAAAATGATAACTCTTTGGTCATTTGCAAAGATTAATGTTTAACTCATTGTCAAGCTGTAACAATGACAACTAGATTTATTACCTTTGTGGTTCAAGACCCACCTGATATGTTGCTTTCCTTGAAAACTCATTGGCAGATCTCGAATGGCCTGGATCCGGTCTCGGGTGGACATAGCAACAAGTTCCTGGACCAAGTTTGTTTCTTCTATTTTACAAAAGAGAAATAAAGCTTGTTATTGACAGGTATATAAATAATACTGACTATAAATAATGACATATTTAATACTGACCATAAATAAGACATATACTGACCAATACTGACCATAAATAAGACATAATGCACAAATCTAAAAATACCTGAAGAACATAGACCTCAGAAATCACTATTTTGTCATAATTTAAAACATACTACCCATATCCATGCTGAATGAAATAGCTCTATTTCCAATATAAATTATCTTTCTATTGAAATACAAAGCCCAGTTTGATACTTTTTGGTCTTTGTTTTGAGTTTTTGAGTCTCAACAATGATAAATAATGATCTATAAGCTTATTTGGTCTTTGGTTGGAAATACATTATAATTAATTAATTAATCATTGCATTTATATAGCGCCTTTCAAGATACCCAAAGCGCTTTACAGTTCATTATTCATCCACTCAGCACTCAGTGGTGGTAAGCTACTACTGTAGCCACACCTGCCCTGGGGCAGACTGACGGAAGCGAGGCTGCCAATCTGCGCCATCGGCCCCTCCGACCACCACCATCACTCACGCACACACCACTTTCATACTAGGCAATGTGGGTGAAGTGTCTTGCCTAAGGACACAACGACAGTTTTTGTAATTGGCGCTCCACTGTGGCACCTGGAATTCCCAGCGGTTTCCCATCCAAGTACTACCCAGGCCTGGCCCTGCTTAGCTTCTGAAATCTGACGGGATCAGCTTTTACAAGCTGGTATTTGAATAGTGAAAATAAAGATCAATCAATCAATCAAACTTAATTTATGGAACGCTTTTCATACAAAAAAGCAACACAAAGCGCTTAGATAAGTAAGACAATAAAGATAAGTATTTGCATTCTTAAAATGTATATATCCTCACATATATAATTCTCACCATTCTCCACTTGGGTCATGATGGCGTTCTCCTCAAATTGAAGGTTTGCATCTGCATTTTGAAACATCCTCCTCATTGTTAGTCCTCTCCATCTCATCGTCATGTTACCTAGACAACACAACAGTCTGTGTTTATCTGCCCACAATCCAGTAATCTTGTTTTGTGCTCCATCCTAAAAGCTATACTTAACATACACTCCACACAACATGCACCTAATATTTAAACAATCATGGGGATGGCACTTTTTGTATTTCCATGGAAAAACAGGGAACAGGAAACTTTGTTTTTTTACTAAGAGCAACGATTGCAGTTGCGATTATCATGAGGAGAAACATCACAATTTTACAAATATTTGAGCACACAAAAGTGAAATCCTTGCATCCTTGCATACTCACTTGCATTCATATTGTCCAATAGATAGACAGTTCCTCTAATATAACCAACTTATGAAATCTGACTTTCTGAATGATAACTTGAATGAATGTAACAACAGATATAAAAGCATTTTACATTCAGGTTTATTCTTACAATTTCTAATTCTTACAATTATATTTTTTAAATTTGTTTGATTTTATTGTGATTTGAATAATCACAATTATCGATTAACTGAACAATGCTGAAATCCCTGTGCAAAACAACTGACACAAGTTCGTTCCTTCCTTATGCCAAATTATACGTGACTGAATTAATTTTGTTAATGATTAACTAAAGGGTTTTTCAAAACCTCAGCCTGTCTACGCAGAAGATTTCATTTCCTTGTCCTAGATTTGATATCTCACTTTAGATTAATAATTGAATGGAGTTGATTAGAAAGTCAAGTGGCATATTTATTTCAGTATGCCAGATAATAAATACTATCATAATCTTTAAGCCTGTAACAATGACAAGTTTTAAAGTGTGATAGGCATACATATTACTAGAGAAAATATTACTGTTAAAATAATACTGAAGAATATTTTATCCCATTAACATGACAAGCCTTAAGCATGATAACCCTGTAAACCATTTTTTTAATTAACCAAGCATTATGATAGCTCTAATAACAGCTGTGGGCTTTACCTGAGGGCAGAGAAGCCATGTGGATGGCCAGTGACTCTTCATAGTGAGCCTCAGTCCGAAATGAGCTGTGATCTAACAAAACACAAAACACTGCAGTTAATAAGTATCAAGAGAAAAGTTCCTAAGCAACAGAGAAGAGTGGAGCTGAACAAGAATAACTGGATGAAGAGAATTGTGGATCTCAAACTGTGGTACACATGCATAGGTGGTTGGTTCTTCTGTAATTAGATTTTAGTTTTTGTCAGTTTTATTCTTGGTTTATGAACATGTAGGTTGTCAAAAAAATCAATATGGAGATACCAACTGAATCAAAACTAGATATTAATTTGACCAAGTAAATAGATTACATCGTGTTAATATTATACTGAAAATAAATGTCATAAGTATAGTGTTGTTATATTTAAGAACTAGTAAAAGACCACATGACACTTCTTGTACTTCTTGTTCTAGTTTAGCTTGGTTATCACTTGTTTAGTTCTGGTTTAAACCTGATGAAGTTCTAATTAAATTCAAATTCACTTTATTTGTGTAGCACATTGTGTTGTGATTTAGCTTCCGGTTAGTCTTGTTTGTCCTGCTTTAATCTTACTTCTGATTACTGGTTGAGCAAATGATCCTGAGTTTGCCCTTTTGGGAATCAATAAAGCATTTATCTATCCATATGGCATACTTCTAGAGATGTCTATATTATGACAATATGGGGGAAGGGGAACGTTTTGAAGAGTTTTGTTTAAATTGCCCGTGTTATACTTTTTTTTTTTTTTTTTTTAAATCACTGTTATAATGTTGTTTTCTCATCAAAAACATACATTTTTGTTTCATTCGTATTTATCACACCAACCCTGCATATTTAGGCTACGTTCAACAGTGCAACAGAAGAAGCTGTTGCACCTTGTGATGTCATGTGGTAATACAGGAAGTGCTCCACTCTGTTTCAAATCTCCATAGACGTTTATAAGAATAATTTGGATGATTTTAGATTTAGAATTGCCAATCTCTACCGAACTAAAGGTAAAAGGTAGCTGTTAATGTGAAAACTACCACTACATCATAAGATACAACAGAGCATTTTGAGCTTTGATGATGTAGACAAACTAATAATAAAGGATTACTAAAACATGTGTGAATGAAACACAACTTCAGGTATGTTACATATAACAACATTATAACATGGCCTAAAGCTCACAGGAGTCAATTTCAAGTAATGTAGGACCTTAAATGAAGTTGCAATTGTGAACCTTGCTGTTGGTTGTACAACTCACCCCTAGTTTGGATCACATTTTGTATGTTTACTTTCATCTGTTAAATGTAGTAATAAAAAAGGCAACTATTCTGGTGATGGTGTAAATCAGTAGATAATTTGCTTACTGTGTTCTGCACGCCATGCTGGGTTCACTGGGTGAGTTGACAAAAGGTCCATGGGGATATCTGTGCCTCTGTCCCAGCTCTGCTCATGGCGCCCTCCCCACGGTGCCCTCGCTGTGTCTCGTGATGATTCAGTGGGGGGATACACATCTGGTCTGATCCCACTCCATTCTCCAGCGTAGGGATTTGTGTGGCTTCTGCTCAGGGATCTAAGATAACAATACAGGTAAAAGTCAGAGATATTGATCAACTATACATGCTTGTTGTGTTTCCAGTTTAAATTGAACAACAGTAACAAACTGACTTTCAAAGATATTTGCCGACATTACTTGTGGGAAATTGTAACCCATACAAGGAACAGAGGATGACCATAATACTGTTATTGACAGTGATCATAAAAGCTCATAAAAGTAGATTAAAAGGTAAGGGTATTTTGCCTTAAATGACATTTCTCACCAGTTCTCTTTGAGACGACAGATGACAATTGGAAATGCAAACAGTAACAAAATGTATTATGTTTTACCCATTACAACATTTCCTCTATTTGAAAATCATCTTAGAAAAAAATAAATATAAAACAACTTTAACAGACTACAGTAAAACATTCAGATGAAAAGTACCTACCTTTTGTCAATTTCCAATGTTTCGCTGTCATGGTAAGCAGAGTTGGAAAATCCTCTGTTGCTAAAAGTGGACATAAGCACATACAAATTATTTGTTGCTTATGTGAACTTTTAAATTGTTTTGTTTTTTTCCCCGAGACCTTTTAAATCTGATACTAATCCCAAGAAAAAATAAAATAATGTACTATCAAAAAGATCCAGTTCAGTTAAGTTGGCAGACTGCACATAAATGAAGTAACTTCACATGTTAAGTGTCTGTTTGTCAGAGTGACAGCTACATTGTGAGGCAGAGCCTGTGTAACTTAATATAGCAGCC